CCTGTACAGTTTTTCCCTGGGAAGATAAGTGTACAGCTGTTGCTCCTCCCCCAGCTCTTATGCAGCTGAGAACGGAGGGTATGTGATCACCTATAAAAAAGGAAAAAGGTATTTAAAATGTTTTTTATATCTATACACAAATGTTTTGCCTTAACATTTTTATTTTAAACTGAATTGGTTGTTTTACAAGGTGAGGGTTTACAATCACTTTAAATTGAAAAAAATAATCTACACCTGAATTATCCCAAGTGCAGATTAAATTATTGTTGAGATGCACCCCTCCAAAACTCCCCACTTTTTAACACATTTCACTGTCACTGACCGGTCACAAGCTAAATGAGGGACATAACCTATAAATGTTATCAGATCTTCTTCCCTGCCAGCCGGGATGTGCTGTATCTCACAACTGGATGAAAAAAACTAAATCTCACCAAAAAAAACCTAATTCTAAATCCAAAATCTCAAATACTAAATCTTAAAACTGGATGAACAGAAATACAAATCCTTTGGAAGGTAAAAAAGCTCCCTGATATATATGTAATCTGCATAATTAGCAGTCTGTCTGGAGCTCTGCTTTAATCTCCAGTACACAATGTTTCAATCTGGAATTACAACACAGCAATACATATAATGCCTATCAATGGGGCTTAATACTAAAAGGGGATAATTGTAACTTTTATAGATTACCGTCCACTTAGTTTAGTAAATAATGACATTTAAACTTTCATTTCTATCATTCAATCACATTCAAATATAAATCTTTTTTCCCTGAAGGCTCCATGTCAGCACACCTAGGCCGCCCACCTCTGCACTACCTAGGACCATAACTAAAAAAAAATCTTCTCCCACGGCAGACTGATATTCCTTCTCTTTACTCCAGGCACTCAGAATTAGGCACAGTATTTCCCTACCTTGCTGGGTTAACCTAGCTGTTCATCTGGGGGAGGCTGATGGTCCCTAGATGCAGTCCCATTATGCCTGCTAAATACCTTGGCAACAAGGATCCCTGCTGCTGGTCATTGGAATTGTTTATTATACAGGCTAAATGCCATGTTTTTTTTTCTTTGGGGCTATAGCAAAGCAAAAAAGATATTTTAAGCACATCAGGAAGGAAGGCTTAAGCTGGTCATAGATGGTAAGATTTTCTTTCTCGCAACCAAGGATCAGTCAGTCCTGATGTGGAAATCACTACCGCAGAGCCATTGCGTTCTCCAGGCAGAGGGGTGGGGGAACCCATCCCTCCCGGGAGAACACAGTGATTACTGTTAGCAGCTATAATAGCTGGTAGCAATAATCGCGTGTAAAATCCAGCAGTCTAGTTGTATGCAGATCAACATTTGTATATTCAGCCTGCCCATACATGGTTCGAATCATCTATGGCCAGCTTTAGGCTTGCCTTTCATGGAATAGATAAGGGATGTCATTGGGGATGAATGGAAACAAGTGCTAAACTTTATCCCTTTTGTAAGGAGGATGTCAAATATCTGGAAAACCCTCCAGTAAAGGGACATAGGAGTCAACTTAGATCTTAAGAAGATCTATGGAGATCCCAGGCTCTTGAAGAATGGAGCTCATTGGCATAGGCCTTGGGTGGTGGACCGATCACCTAAACAAGGATAGTGTAAAATCCCTTTCAGGGGTCAGTCCCTCTTTGGGAATAAATTGGATTCTGCCATAGCCAAATAGGCCAGTGGGAAATCATCTGACTTAATTCTGCTTCATTCAGGATAGGAGACTGCTACTGCAGAAGAATACTGCCTTCAGAGGATCTGCGAGGGTTGATGCAAACATTTGAGATGCTATAGGCTGGGTAAAGGCAGAACAAGATTCCTGCCCAGTAAAATAAAGATGTAAAATTGAGCACTCTAAAAACAGCAGCTAATGCACCAAAGGTAACCAATATAAAACCTTCATCAACCAAAATAAATATAGTGCAGCGCTAAAATGTCAATGATAACTGAAAGATTTGAATAATCTCAAAGTGACAGTCCGTGCAAGTTTAAGTGGAGGTAGTAACAGCACTGCAGCAAGGAGAGCCACTCGGATCCTGGTATATAAGCTGCCTCATCCACCCACCCCTTAAAGGGGCCCCTGACTGCCTGATTCCTTCTCCTCCTGAGAGCTCCTACAGCACCACCTATACTCAGAGAGAGGATTTCCCCTGTCCAGGACCACATCCATTACCTAGAGGGCACTATTACTGCTGTTAATGCGCATTAACATTGTGTATCTGGTGAGTGCGCATTCTTATCATATCACTGTTGGAGCACCGACACAGGATCGTGATTGTTACTACCTCCACTTAAACTTGCACGGACTGTCACTTTGAGATTATTCGTATCTTTCATTTATCATTGACATTTTAGCGCTGCACTATATTTATTTATAAGATTCCTGCCCAGTTTGAGAGAAACTTGTGCTGTCATGCCATTGTGGTAAGTAGGAAGAACAATTTTCCGTTTTCCCTGATGGCTCCATGTCAGCACACCTGGGAAATGTTTACCTATACAAGGGTGAGTCATGCAGAATGAAAAGAAATTTAATCTTGGTTAGAAGATGCAGCAATAGTTTTGCCAAACTCAACCATAGTCAATGCTGCCGGTCAACACAGTAATGTGAAAATAAACATGCATAAAAGCCCATATTGCTGCTTTGCTTTTCACCTCCAGCAAGACTTGGCAAGCCACTGACCACAAAGTTGCAAAGCTCCTAATGGAGTGTGCTGTTATCCCATCTGGGACTGCCAACCCTTTGGATTTGTAAGCAAATGTGATGATCTTCAATAGCCAGGCTGCTATGGTTCTGACGAGGCTTTGACTCCTTTAATTACTCCAAACAGAATCAGGAATGCCAGTCTGAGGTGGGAATAGATTTTTATTAGTTATTGTCCTGGTCCTGCCATGGAGCTTGTCAGCAAAGGAAAATTGCAGTAAGTATGAAGAACAATTTTCCATTTTTTAAAAATGCACGATTGAATATTTAAATTCAACATACACTATATTGCCAAAACTATTTAGATACCCCTCCAAATCATTGGATTCAGGTGTTCCAATCACCTCCATGGCCACAGGTGTATAACATCAAGCACCTAGGCATGCAGACTGCTTCTACAAACATTTGTGAAAGAATGGGTCGCTCTCAGGAGCTCAGTGAATTCAAGTATGGTACCGTGATAGGTTGCCACCTGTGCAATAAGTCCATCCATGAAATTTCCTTGCTACTGGATATTCCACAGTCAACTGTTAGTGGTATTATAACAAAGTGGAAGCAACTGGGAACAACAGTAACTCAGCCACGAAGTGGCAGGCTACGTAAAATGACAAAGCAGGGTCAGCGCATACTGAAGCGCAGAAGATGCCAACTGTCTGCAGAATCAATAGCTAAAGACCTCCAAGCTTTGCATAGAGAGTTTCATGGAATGGGTTTCCATGGTCAAGCAGCTTCATACAAGCCTCACATCACCAAGTGCAATGCAAAGCGCTGGATGCAGTGGTGTAAAGCATACCGCCACTCGACTTTAGAGTAGTGGAGACGTGTTCTCTGGAGTGACGAATCAATCTTCTCTGTCTGGCAATCCGATGGATGTGTCTGGGTTTGCCAGGAGAATGGTACTTGCTGACTGCAGTGTGCCAAGTGTACAGTTTAGTGGAGGGGAGATTATGGTGTGGGGTTGTTTTTTAAGGGTTGGGCTTGGGCCCTTAGTTCCAGTGAAGGGAACTCTTAAGGCGTCAGCATACCAAGACATTTTGGACAATTTCATGCTCCCAAATTTGTGGGAACAGTTTCGGGATGGCCCCTTCCTGTTCCAACATGACTGGGCACCAGTGCACAAAGCAAGATCCATAAAGACACGGATGAGCGAGTTTGGGGTGGAGGAAATTCACTGGCCTGCACAAAGTCCTGACCTCAACCCAATAGAACACCTTTGGGATGAATCAGACTGGAGACTGCGAGCCAGGCCTTCTCGTCCAATATCAGCGCCTGACCTCACAAATGGGCTTCTGGAAGAATGGTCAAACATTCTCATAGACACACTCCTAAACCTTGTGGACAGCCTTCCAAGAAGAGTTGAAGCTGTTATAGCTGCAAAGGGTGGGCCAACTCAATATTGAACCCTACAGACTAAGACTGGGATGCCATTAAAGTTCATGGCAGGCGTCCCAATACTTTTGGCAATATAGTGTATCTTCATAATGTTTACTAGGATAAGTAAACTGTGTCAGTCAACCCCAATAAAAATGTGTTTTATCAGTAATAAAACAATACATCTAGAATTTTACTCTTGATTAAATTTTAATTGAAAAACAAATATGTTTATTTCAGCATACATATGTTAACATAATATATGACAAAAAGAGAAATATATGATATGATGCAAAAAAGAAAGACTTAGTCCACAGCTTAATCCCTTGGTAACTTAATCTCCCCATGTTTGCATGTTTAGAAGCTCACTCATGTTGTAAATGAGCAGGGTTTGCTCCTGAACACAAAATGTTCAACCAAAAATTTTTTTTGCATATTTGACATATAATGTAATTGATTCTTTGATACACTAAGAAAACCAAGCAGGGGAATTTTCTGATGTGTAATTAGGAATATAAAACTGTCTATGCATAATGCAAAAATAGGAATGAATTTGTGCTGAATGTGAAGGAAATATTAATATTTTTTCCAGAATAATTTCAGACCTAGATCTTTGCTTTCAAAAATGCAAATATCCTAAGCAGTACCTATCATTATTATTATAATTATTAATAATATATAATGAGGCAGCGCAGAGAGCAATGATGGTCTGTTGAGTGCAGCAACGCAGAACAACCAGATTTTCTGTTACAGCAATCTAAGATGGTTTCTGATTGGGTGCTATGGGTTCCTGCATTTTGCACACTGCATTTTGCCTTAATAATTAAGGTTTAAAGTCCACCTTTACTTTTTTATAGCAAGTAGTGCCCATTTAATGACACATTTGACTCTTCATGCTGGCTGGCATGCTGATTCTATCAGATTGGGTTACTGTTGTCAACCAATTCTTGAATATTGCATGGGAGCTTCGGCTCTTCAGATGATATACTGTCCACTATAGAAGAGAGACACTGTAGGCTGCTGGAAGCTGAGGACTCATGAACAGATCCTTCTGCAAAACAAATGTCAATGCAAGTGACAGATGCTACATCTGTGGTTCCTTATGACTAGTTTAGCTTGTGACAGTCAAATGCTAGTATTAATCTACAACATGTTAGTGTTTTTCATAGGAAGATGAGCTAAAGCTGTTCACAGACATGTTTTAAAGCCCATCTTCAAGCTCCAGGATTCCCTCAATCCCCTATATAATGCTGTTTGCTGGTGGGGTCCACAGCAGGCATCACCAGGGGCGGACTGACCATTTGGAAACTCGGGCACTGCCCGAGGGTCCACGATCAGTAGGGGCCCCATGAGATGCCCCTGGTACCTTTTTCATAGGCTTTTTTGAGTTTGGGCAAGGACAAAAGGGCTCCATGATCCCCTATTGCCCGGAGGCCCCATGAGTTGTCAGTCCGGCCCTGGGCATCACTATTTAGAAGGTGCCCTTCTACGACATGCACCCAGCACTGAAAGAAGTTAGAACTATTAGGTTGAGTGATCTCTGCCCGACAAAAGTGCTAGCCCCACTTGAACAGAAAACTTTAGGTGGGAGCATAAAACACTAAATACTAATGGAAGGGGAGTTATTATTATTGTTCCAGTTAGCCACTGACGACCAGTGCTTGGGGAATTTATTGTTCCTGTTAGCCACTGACCATCCCCTGATGCCCTATGCTGGGCAAGTGTTTACTTTAACAGCTAGCCACTGACTACCAAAACCACCAATACTGGGGGGAAGGGGGCTATTGTTACAGCTAACCAGTAACCACCAGTGTTTGGGAGGGGATATGTTTACAGCCAGCCACTGACCACCAATGATGGGGAGGTGTTATATTTTCAACCAGCCACTGCTCACCATTGCTGGTGGGAGGGGGGTACAGACAACCTCTAGCCAACAATGCGGGGGTGGGGGTATTTTAACATCCTGCCATGCTGAAGAATTAACATAACTACCAGTGACCACGAATGAAGGGGGGACTATTAAGGCTACTATTATGACTGACAATAACACCAGTGATGGGAGTTACTATTACTGGCAATAAAACCAATATTGGGGCTTATTCTACTCCCACAGTGCAAGTGATACACTGTGAAGAAACACTTACTTTAATAGCCAGGCCTCCAGGTGCACAGCAGGTGCGTGCTAGGTGCACCACATTTTTCTTTTTACTACCTTCAATATTTCCTTCCTGTTTTTAAATGTTGGTAGCTATGCTGGAGATAGTGTCTCTGAGGTCCTGCATGTTTGGGAGATTGATATGCTAGGTTTAGTATCTCTGCATAACATTGCAACTGTACTTACAATTGTTGCTGTTTGCCCACCTCCAGCTAATTCTGCTCCCACCCCTAGCATGCATGATGCTTCATATCAAAATTAATTCTAAAAATAATTTTGATGTATTGTGGATATTAAAATATGATTGAACCAAAGTCACAGATATGCTAGATATGCCATAGCCTGCTGGTAGTATGTTTTGCCTTTTTTAAAATGTTTTTTTTAGATGTGTCTAGGCCATTCACAGAAAACAGAAAGTCCTCTTTCTCTTTGGATCTACTCCAGTGGTGGGTGGTCCTCAGTGATGTCAGTGCCGCTCTCTGCATACTTTTTTGTAAGTGCAGGTAGCCAGGTACACCCTGAAGGGAGCTGGTCCATACCATTTAAAACAGAAGACTAAAGACATCTAGTGGCAGAATGAAATGACTGAGGGGACAGCATCGGAGAGCAGATAGGTATTGCAGCCAGTGCTGCTTTTTTGTTTTAATTTTAAGTTGGGCTTTAACTTATTAATTGCAGTACTTTGGTTTTAGTCTTACCTTTCGAGTAATAGTTAACTGTTACTTTTTGTTGGAAATATTTGACACCAATATGGGAAGAGGGGATGACATGAAATGTTTAACTGACTATCCTACACCTTAGTCTTTAGCAGACCATAGATTATATGAGTTTCTATCCTACCACCACGAGTGGAAGGAAAAAAAATTGCTTGATTCCCCCATCAACACAGTCAGTGTTGATGGGGAATGACACCCATGGAACTATTGTGTTCTGCCAATGGGGAGCCTGCCCTGTCTGCAGAACACAATGATTACTGTTAATGGCTATAGTTGCCAGCAGTAAACGCAAGCAAAAAGTCAGACAGGCTGGTTGTACTGAAGTCGATTAATGGAACAACTAGCCTGCCCATAGATGGAATGAATCTTAGTCAGTCATCACTGAACCGGCTGAGATTTGATTTCTGGACAGTTTTTGTGGTTAATTTCTGCTGCTCTGATAAGACACTCAGATACTGACACCAATATTTTTTTTGCTATCTGTCCCAATGACCAAAATTGTAAAAAGTGTTTTCCCCCTGATACCAACGTAATGGGGCCTTTGTCTCACTGACCACCAGTTCTTTTCTAGCCATTCATAATATTTCTTTCATTTTATGATTTTTTTTACCGAAATAATTGTTGTTGTAAGTTTTATAAAGCAATTTTTTTTATATAATATCTACAGTTTGGTGTTTACACTGTAATGTACCATGAGGTATAAATATACTAATTATTAGCAGGGGTTCAACAAGACCTGAAAGTTATTTCAAGGGTCCCTTTGTGTTAAACAGGCTAAGGATATATGAAACATTACAATATAAGTCCATGCATAATGTTTGGATTTACCTTCTTTAAGGCTCATGTCTGAAATTGCGGAATGATTTGGAATTTTGTGCCAGTCGCTATGACAGCTACTTAAGAAATCTTCTCTCTGCATCTGGGCAATTATAAAATAGAAAATGTTACAATAAATACACATGAAAGTCATAATAGGTTGTTTACTACTTTTCCTTTTCCTGCTTTTTGCTTGGATACTGTATACCCAGCCATTTCTATGCAAATTTGTTGACAATGGAAACAAATATCAGACAGCAGTTTTTGCATTCAGGTTTTATTTTAATTAATCTCAAGAGAATCCTAAATCACATTATTTTTTCTATGTGGTCCACTTCAAATACTGCTTATAAAACTAGTCATACACAAAATGAGCTTTCATCTGGCAATTCAGCATATCAGATGTTCCATAGTCTCCAAAGAGTTTCAAAGAACCTTATAACCTTTTGAGTTATTTTCTGGACTGTTTCTATTATTGTTGATGTTATATTTATTATATCATTATTATTATTATCATTTTATGGTTTTCCAGGTGCATTTCAGATCCTTGTTATGGCTAAGTGCCTGTGCAGTTAACCACTCATTTACAAACCCATTCAACTGCAGTTTCCAGACAATTTCTATAGAATTCATGTGACAGATTTTTTTTTTCTCTACTGAACACAAATACCAACAAAAATATAAGATTATTGCTAAAATACACATATTTTGATTTTTTTCGTCTGTTAAATTTTTCTATCCCTAGCCAACATCCTTTCTAAAGATTTGTTCACACCAGATGCAATCCAGTGCAATTTTATTTTGCATCAAAAATGTATAGACCGTATTTAACATGGGTTCCAAAGGCCCTAGTTCACACCAGTGCAGTGCAATCCAATGCAGTCAACAAAAGTAGAACATGCTTCATTTTTTCTATATGGAATGCATCTGAAATGCTGCAAAATGCCTAAAAACATACTGGAACGCATCAAAAAAGCATACTGATCTAGAATGTGCATGGCCTTAACTGAGATGAAGAAAAAAAGAGGGAAAATTGCACCAGAATGCACCAAAAATCCATCTGAAATGCAGCTGTATCTCATAAACTGTGGTGTGAACCAGCCCTGAATGATTTCTATGGTCTACAAAGTCCAAAATATAAATCATTTGAATAATATAAGTGTGTTTCTTACAGACATGTAATGTATGCTCTTCTTATTAACTGGCAAGCATAGACCTGATAACACTACTTTTAGGTTTTATAGCTTGCCAACAATATTACATTATCACAATATGCATTTGAGTGCTTTTTATGTTTCACAAATAACCTGTTTTTCACTAGTTCACACACACACATATATATATATATATATATATATATATATATATATATATATTAACAATATTTGTGGATGGCAATAAGGGACTTTTTACTGCAGAATATATTCTGTATACTGATATCAAGGAGACTGTTACGGTCTGGCTGTAGGACACTCTGTGCACTGTTCTTTGGCTATTTGTGCTATAATTGACAGGCTTGACATAAGTTTTCAAGACAGCTGCAGCAACACTTAAATTCTTGGCTGAAAAACGGCTGAGCATTAACATGCACTTCTCTTTCATGGTACAATACTACATTTTATTTGTAAGCATTTCAGTTTTTAGAACTGAGTTTTATATTTTGCTGTCTGTTCATTTTTGTTTTAATAGGTTTAACGGGATTTTTCTGGATCTCATGTTTTTGCTAATCTTCCTAATTCAGTACTTTATTGTTTTTTGGTGTACTTCATAGCATATTATGTAAAAAGTTTTTGCTGTGCTGCATGTGACCCTCTTATTCCTTCAGCCAATACAGCCAGTTCAAAAACTGAGGCCCCACCGCATTCTATAGTGCATACAAATTGTAATTTTTTAGCTCATTTTGCAGCTGAATTGCTCTAAAATGTAACATTTCTTTATAATATATCAGAGACTAAATGTTTAAGTGTTAAAAAACTGCTTATGTATTTTTGTGTTTGGTATCAGACAGTTCTGAACTTGTTTTTAAGCCATTGAACTGATAAAACCTAAATCCAAACTTTTTTTTTAAACTTAGAGACCACCAGGTAATAAGGAAACTAGATATTTAAATGTTAAAAAATTACTGCAGTTGGATAAATGTGGAGCAGTTGATGTAATGCAGCCCTTTACAGAGTTTCCCTATATATTTGAGGACTCTTTAATTTGAGTTCAACATGCTGTGTTTTAGACTGCGCCTCAGGTCTTCATGTTTAATCCATTCACCATGCCCTGGTAGTTTCTATGTTTAAATGGTGTTTGGATTTTGGTTTTATCAGTTAAATGTCTTAAAACTATTTCAGAACAATAAGCAATGCTCTCATCAAACACACTTGACTGCTTACACTGACATCCTTGGGGTTATATGAGAAAGGCTCATCTTCTTTCTGAGGCTTGTCCTGTTGATCCAAACTGTGAAGGAGATCCTGGAGCCTCTCTATATAATTTATTGCGCTGCGTAGGATTTCAACTTTCGGAAGTCTCTGGTTTGGGTTGGAAACTGTTCTTCTTTTCAGGGCCTCAAATGCTTCATTAATTTTCTTTAATCTTCTCCTTTCCCTTAAAGTAGCTGCTTTCCTCCTGTCTGTTGGTGCTGACTTCCTCTTGCAGGTCTTACAAGCCCAAATCAAACATTGCCCAGGACAGTGGGGTTGTAGGCCAGGTGGGGCTAACACATGTTCCTCTCCACTGCTGTCACTTCCAGCGTCTCCTGGTATCTGATCCTGACAAGGGGACAACGTACCATCACTACCTGGATACAAAGGAGAGCCATCTGTCATTTCCAGTTGTTGTAGGGCTCCATTATCTCCTTCAAAATAAAAAAGAAATAGGAATTGGTTTCAAAAAGGTCCATCATTATGCTTTGCCCTTGATTACTGAGACTGCCTGGTTGGAAACGTGTGCTCAAAACAGCACAGCCCTAAGGAATTTAATTAGTACAGTGACATAAGTCTCAGTCTTTATATAGCTACTGAAACTCTATCCAACTTTTATCTGTCGCAGTGCATCACCCTCCAAAACTGATTTCAAGAGTCTCCTGGGTGTAGCCCTCTCAGCTGTAACAGCTATGGATTTGAAATTTCACTTCAAGGTTAACAAGGAAGCAGATGGAAATGGCTACATTCAGGGATAACATTAACTTACTGAAAAAAATCACTTTGACAGACTTTTATCTACCTACTCAGAAACAATGTGTTTTATGTAATATATATTTTCAATTCCTGTGAGAGAAGCCTGAAAGATCCAAGTGCCTGGCCTAGTCATGCACACCTGTGCTGTTTTCTAATTTGTGCAGTGAGTGCAGGTCTTTCTACAGTACAACATCTTTGAAAATATGGGACTTTCCAGTCACCACTTCCATAGAAATGTAATTAATAAGGTTTGATACATCCATAACAAAAAAAGTTAAAAACATGGCTGACACAGAGTTACATTTGATCACCAGATATTTATACATTCTCCATGTTCCCACATCAGTGTCAATATCTCCAGAGACTGGCATTGATGGTGGAACCATGTAGATTGTGTGAAGATCTGGTGATCAAATTTACCACTGTGTCAGCCATGTTTTTTATGTTAATATTTTTTATTACAAATGTATCAATAAAATAACTTTTTCAATTATATTTCTATGTTGTAACTGGAACTTGAAAAGTCCCACATTTTCTAAGATGTTGTATTGTAGATAGTCCAAGGGATTCTGGCACCACTATAACTATACCTATCATTTATTAAACAAATAATGCATACAGGCCTCATAGCAGAAATCAAAGCTACTTAGAAAGATAGCATTTCCAGCCTGCGATAACCTATTTAGGCCCGTGACTGATGCTTATTGCTAAAATGAAAATATAATATTACAGTGCAAAAATCAAACAAACAATAGTGATTAAGTCAACAGTGATGAAACAATAACAAGTCCACTGACCCAAATAAACGGTGATTTGGTGCTCCAATCTAAAATTGGTGCCAAAACTAAATGTGTTCCTTAAATGATATCTCCACACCATCCATGATCACCTTTTGGTACAATCCACACTCATCAGATATGATGGACTCTTAGTTTGTATGGCTTAAGTGTCAAACAAGCTTTTATTGGTGAAGTGTGTTCCCCAGAATAAACCAGATTAGAGCAGAAATGCTTGCTTGACAATCACGAGAGGAATTCGGTAGCCTTCGTAAGAGCCGCTGTACATGTACAAATCAGCCAGTTCAGTCTTCATTTTCATCCGCTGCCTCCTGCATGGAGTTAATTGAAAGCCCCGTCCATGTTAACTATTGGGTTCCATGCAGGAAGCAGCGGATGAAAATGAAGACTGAACTGGCTGAATTGTACATGTACAGAGACTCTTACAGAGGCCACCGAATTCCTCTCGTGATTGTCAAGCAAGCATTTGTGCTCTGATCTGGTTTATTCCAGGGAACACACTTCACCAATAAAAGCTTGTTTGACTCTTAAACCATACAAGCTAAGAGTCCATCGGATATGGTACGTATACATTCATAGTGTGGATTCTACTGGAAGGTGATCATGGATGGGGTGGGGATATCATTTAAGGAACACATTTAGTTTTGGCACCATTTTTTGATTGGAGCACTGAATAACAATTTATTTGGGACAGTGGACTTTTTTTTGTTTCATCACTGTTGATTTAATCACTATTGTTTGTAATATTATATTTTTATGTTTGGTTGGTCTTTTACCTTATGAACAGCAGCATTAATTAATTGGAGTATATAATAATTTAAACAATTTTTAGGCGCCTGTTAATTTATACACATTTTTTTTTATATTGGTAGAATGGACCTCAATTAAAGTTCCCGGTTCCCTTTACCATGTGTTCCATCAGACCTTACCTGCTGCCCTACCCACTTGCTCTAATATGGCCTTGTCTTCTACCACTGGGCCCACACCGCACCAGTATCACAACTCATTGCTTGACACTACCCCCTCAGTCCACCCTCACGGTGGGACCTTAGTTTTACTTTTTTTTTTTGCTTATATATTTTTCATACGTAATGAACCTGAATTTACTCTTCATTACACAAATTATCCCTGCTCCTGATATGCTGCACTGAACTGTTTGTGTTATGTATACCTTTTATATTGTATGTTATAACTCTTTGGGAACCCCTTCCTTCCCCGTATCCTATGTACCTGTTATAACTCAATACAATTTTTGTGGAAAAAAAAGAATGAGCCCCAAACATAATTGATAGCAAAACACAAAATATATCTGATGACAAAATAGGTCCCACAGGAAGACATGGTTGAGTCTGAGGCCTGGATTTTTTTTAGGGGATATTTTTCTTCAGCTTTATAAAAAAAAAGGTTAAACTCTCATATACCTTTTTAATTCTCAATCACCTTTTTCAGTAAAAAGACATAAATTAAATGAAAAAAATAAAATGTACAAACTTATACCATATAACTTGTCATAATAGAGTGCCCTTGAATGTAATGCTCTGTGATGTAATATTAAGTGCACGCTGCAAAGACAGCTCTCTATCTTGAAAGCTGAGCATCGAGACCTGTGGGTAGCACAGTGGCTAAACGGTTAGCACTTCCGCCTGGCAGTACTAGGGTCATTGGTTCGAATACCAGCCACGGTACCTCCTGCCTGGAGTTGCATGTTCTCCCTGTGCCTGCGTGGGTTTCCTCTGGGTGCTCCGGTTTCTGCTAGACATGCTGCTAGGTTAATTGGCTCCTGTCTAAATTGTCCCTAGTATGTATGTATGTATGTGTATGTATGAATGTAAGTTAGGGACCTTAGATTGTACGCCCCTTGAGGGTTAGGGACTGATGTGATAGTACAATATATATGTAAAGCGCTGCGTAAATTGACGGTGCTATATAAGTACCTGAAATAAATAAATAATAAATAAATAGATACCCAAATGAAGGATTATGTCTTTCAAGACAGTCAACAGCAGCGGTGCTGTGGTAGTGGCAGGAGGAGTTATAAGTTCAGAACAACAGCAATTAACCAATTCAATACTGGGCACTTTTACACCTTCTGCACAGGCCATTTTTCAGGTTTCAGCGCTCTCCCACTTTGAATGACAATTGCACAGTCATACAACATTGTACCCAAACTAAAATTTTATCATTTTCTTCACACAACTAGAGCTTTCTTTTGGTGGTATTTAATCACCGCTGGGGTTTTTATTTTTTGCTAAATTAACAAAAAAAGATCAAAAATTTTGAAAAAAACAAACTTTTTTCTTTGTTTCTGTTATAAAAGTTTGCAAATAAATAATTGTTCTTCATAAATTTAGGCCGAGATGTGTTCTGCTACATGTCTTTGGTGAAAATAACCCATATTAGGATGTATTTTTTAGTTTGTAGGAAAGTTATAGAGTTCACAATCTATGGTATAGATCTGAATATTGATCAATCCTCAAGTACTGACAGCCAATCTAATTTCTTGAGGTCCAAGAATGTCAGAACAGTACAGATATTCCCCAAATGAACCCTTTTTGCAGAGTAGACAGTCCGACGTACTTCATAAGAGGCATGGCGAGTTTTTTGAAGTTGTATATTTTTTGTCATAATTTTTCAGAAAATGAAAAAATTTAAAAAAATTAGTTTCTCTATTTTGTTTTTACATATTGTCACCAGTGCAGTACAGCGTCATCATATAACTGGCATAGTGGTGATCAGGGACACTGACTGGTGACAGTATGAAAAAAAAAAATATATATATATATTTTTTATATCTTTTATTAAATTGTTTTCTTTTTTTTAAGATTTTTTTTCATATTTCACTATGACCAAAGTAGTACAATGTTACCATAGTAACACTGTACTACTTTGGGGAAGTGATCAGTATTTTTTTTTTTTTTTACACAATTTGCTTATAGCAAAGAATTACTTTGCTATAAGCAAGCATTTACCTGAATGACATCGATTCATTCAGGGGTTTTTTTTTTTTTTTGTGCTTAGCTGTGATTTGGCCACAGCTAATCACATGACATATGCATGTGATTAGCTGTGACCATTCACAGCTAGACACTAGTATACAATGGATGGCATGAATGAAGCCATCCATTGAATACAACTGTCATGTGACCTGCTGTGATTGGTCACAGCAGGTCACATCGTACCGGCAACGGGGGCCGGTACTCAGATCTGGCATCGGCCGTGTCCGAGGTACATGGCCGGTGACAGATCGCGCCGCTTTCCTACTAGCAACTGACTTCCTGTATGGTGAAGTGCAGGGCAAACCTTTGAATTTAACTTAAAGAACAATAGAATGTACTCATACTAAATGTGTCCATACTATATATGTGAATATTAAAATGGAAGTTTTTATTGCTGTCTGTGTCCTCATAGGGAGATTTATTCGTGTACTGTGTGTTGGTGGGACAGAAATTGAGAGGATATCCTCAGGAAAATCCTTCCCATTTCCTTTACCTCCCTCTCTCCCTTCCCCTTTACCACTGTCTGATCCCTTGGGATTAATGGTATACAGGTTTATATTGATCATCTGGCCTTCTTCACTTGTAGCCCCTTCTACAATATTGTTGGTTCAGTGTTTCTGTTTATCATCTGTAATTACCCCTGTTAATGGCTGACAGCTCTAGTCTCAGCCCAAGTTCTCTGGGACAAACCATTAGATCATTTGACTTTTTCATGCCTCATCTTTTACTGTTTTACAGTATTGTTGTGCTCTAATTTGATATCTCTTTGCCATGGCCTTCTGTATCCCATTTGACTTTTTTCCATTTTAAAACAATAAAAATAATGAACAAGGAAATAAGAGGATATCTCACCAATGGGGACTCAGACAGCAACAAATGGTCACTTGCCTGATGAAGGGGTCCTGCAAGACTCGGAAATGTTGCCTTGCTGTAACTTTGTGATCGTTCATTCAAACTTTTGGACCCATATTGGTGATCCTTGGTGTGCTGGTGACA